GCAGGTTCGGCGATTTCGAATAGTTAGCAGCTAACCTTCCGAATTGACAGTTTTGAGAGATAAGTGACGTTATTGGGACAATTAATCAAACGGTGAAGGTCAAGATATTCTGGTATTTTGAAATTTTAAAAATTCGAAATGAGAAGTCGCACTTCTGAGAAACGGCAAAAATCGCCATTTTGGAAGAAAACCAGAAGAAAATCACAACAACAATAGTTGCGATTGTGATAACTATGAGAATTGCAATAAAAAAACAACAACGAATTGCAGAGTTAGCAAACAACGGTAAAGGGTGGTAAAACAGCCTTCCGGAAGGAAGATAAGGGCGTTATTTACCCGGATTCAGGAATCCGGAGGGGTCTCGGGACTGGAACTGAAACTATTTTATATAATCTTTTAGCTTCCCGGTTATGTCTTGAGTTGAATTTATTTAACATCTGAATTCATTTTACGACGATGAGAAGCTAGGAGTTGGGGGAAAGGGTTGATCCATCTTCGATGGAGATGATGATTTTTTTCTACTGAACAAAAACAGTAGTAATATAGTAAATAGTAGTAGCCCTGTTTTTAGGAGTAACCTCGTGGTCTGGGGATACTGATACCCAGCCATGAGCTCACTAATTTGCAAGTAAACAAGTCAATTTGAGCGTTCTGGTCGAAGCCGGAGAACAGTAACGTTTTTGACGACCCGATGTTAGAAAGACCACCAAAAGAACTGGCTTTGGTAGAGACAGTGAAAAGCATGTAGAGCTCTGTTTAGACGTTGGCCAGTCGTCTTAGAACCTAGCTTTATTTTCCGTCGATATGCACTTCCGGGCCAATGTTACATTTCAAGGACGTGACCTGTTTTTATTTTGGAACGAATTTTTTAAAATTTATTTCGTCTTGCCAAACCGACCACTCCTAATTCGCCAAATTGTCCAATTAGGACAGCTAATCTAATAAAACGGTCAATCTTCCCAGTCCGATGTTATAACGTAAATTCGATGCATTTTGGCGCCTTTCTGGTCGAATATCACATTGTCCAATAAGACCGTTAATTCTTTGAAACAGCCATTTCTCCCACCAAACTGCTCCAGATGAATATTCATTTTTCCCATGTATTTTAGGCGCCATTCTGGTCAAATGCCTCATACTACTACTACTTAAACACCTAAATAACTGGAATACTGGAAATCTGGAGGCTCTTATTAAATAGTTTCAGATTATATGATTTGCGGGGTAGCCGTGGTGACCCCTTTTTCATGGTTGTGATTATTGGAGCGAGCTCATTACATCTGGCACTTGAAGATTGGGCATCAGTAGGAGGAAACGAGGAACTGCAAGAAGACGTCATTCATTACAAGAGAGTAACGTTTCATCCCAAATCGAACTCGAATAAAATCGTACGAAACATCTTGAGAGACGAAGTTACTAGAAACGAGTCTGTAATTATCTGGCACGACGTAATAAACAATTCGATTTCAAAACATCCATTCAATCCAAGGACTCCCCTTACTGCCAATCAACTAGTACCAGAAATCAAACCCCTAATCAATTCGCATCCTCGAATTGAAGGCCTTGTCTATTGTCAGAGAGACGGTGCACCCTATATTCTTAAAGATCTAAAGAAACTTCCGATACCAGTTGTTCAAGTTACAACAGACATAATTTCAAATTCTAAACAACAGGACAAAGATCTACTTGAAGGATACAGAGAACTGCATCAAGAAACCGCACTTGAAATCAAAACTTTAGCTATAATACGAAACAACAATAGCAACTTGAGTGATATCTTAAAGAAGAACAAGAAACCGTCAAAAAAACAACGAGAAGCACGAAGGAAACGAGAACAGAAATAAATTGTGAGTTTAAATTTCAATTCGTGACGGGAGTGGGCTTAATTGTCCAGGCTTGGATCAAATTGTAAATAAATATTCTCTATCCCATTTTCTCCTTCTCTCTGTATCCACCAAAATGAAAAATTGCAAAACGTGCAAAAAACCCATAAATGCCAGGGACAGATGTTTCAGTTGTGTATCTTGCAATGCTCAAATGCATCTCGAGAGCGCCTGCACTGGTCTTACTAACACCGCCACCAATGGCATAAAAGACTTGGGTTTAAACGCAATGCTTCTATGCGACACATGTGTAACTAATAACGAAAGAGGTAACTTCATAAAGTGTAGGACCATGATGCAAATGAACGAGAAAATTGAAAAAGAGAGTGAGGGAATACAAGCACGTCTTGAAAATATGGAAAAAAGGCTGACGGCATTGGTTGATGAAAAAGTCGAAAACGCTACAAAAACCACATGCGAAAAACTGGAAAAAAGCTATGCAGATGTACTCAGTGTGAAACCTGTTAAAGATATGAAAGCTCAACCAGGAGCTGGAAAAGAAGTAAAACAAGAAATTCATCATAATATCAATAAAAGCTTCCGTATACAGGGGATCAGAGAAGATCCCGAGAAATCAAAAGGCGAAAATTTTGTCCCCACAACCGAAAAAGTACATGAGGTACTAAACAAGTTAGGAGTTAAACCACAAATTGAAGAAATAAAAAGGCTAAGGAAATTCAGCAAAGAGCGCATCAAGTCAAGAATTTTATTAATAACTCTGTCAACGGAACATGAAGCACGATTGGTGCTGGCAAAGAGCCTCGAAAAAAGAGATGAACTGCGAGATGAGAAAATTTACCTTCTGCCAGCATTATCGAAAGAAGATGCGAGGAAGGAAAACCTATGCTTAAAAAGATGAAGAGAACTTCTAGACGAAGGAGTTCCAAAGGAGAAAATCAAAATCAGGAATTTCGAGCTGTTCAATGATGGTAAAAAAGAGATGATAGAAGCAGAACAAGCAGATGATGCTTGACTAGGCTTTCTCAACATCGTGCAAATGAATGTAAGAAGTCTCATAAAACTCAAACGACGAATGAAGTTTGCAAATGCTATAGCAACATCAAACTATGACATAATATGTCTCTGCGAGACTTGGTTAAATGAAAACATTGTATCATCTGAATTAATGGTAAATGAATACAGTATTTATAGATCAGAACGACAAACAGCCAAAGATCAAAATTTGCACGGTGGAGTACTAATGGCAGTGAAACAAACATTTTCATCTAAATTGTTGCCAAATAAGCAACCTGAATGTTGTTTAACTTGCAGCATCCAAATAAACGATAAACGAATTATTGTCTGCTGTTTTTACAATCCACCTTCGAGCAGCAAATATCGCACAAATTGTCTAGGCGATTTCGCACAAATTTTAAATGAAATCGAGAAATCAAATCAATCAACTGCAACACTGATTTGCGGAGATGTAAATTTTCTAAATGCAAACTGGATTGACTATAGTAGCACGGAAAATGAAGAAAACTCAATAATTGAACTAATCGAGCAACATCAGTTCGAGCAGGCAATAGATTTTCCAACTTGTGGCAAAAACTTGTAGACATTACATTATTCAAAAATTGTCACATTCATGCGACTCCTGACGAAAATTTCTCAAAAATTTACAATTGCTCTGACCACAAAGCAATCAGCATTCTAATTGAATGTCCTCACCATGAGGTAAAGGTCGCTATTGAAAACTTTCGAAGCTTCGGTAGCGTGGACTATAACGAAATCAAGAAATCAATACTAAGTGAGCCTTTCTCACCAGTATGTCACACAAACATCAATAGAATGTGCAAGGAACTTTACGACTATTTGGAAAATTTGGTAAACCAACATGTGCCTAGAAGAACGAGACGTTGCCAATCACTTCCGCCATGGGTTACGCCAAGTACCTCAAACATCATGAACAAACTGCGAACACAAACTAGAAAATACAAATTGAAACCTACAAGCTACCGCAGAAATCTCATTCTATCTCTAGATAAAATGGTGGAAGAAGCAGTAGAGGAAGATAGAGTAAACTATCAGGAAAATTTGATGTCAACTTGTAACACACATTTAATTTTCAAACACTTTAAGAGTCTGAAAAAATCAGAAACTCTCCCAAAGACTATGATCAAGGACGAAATAGCTGTTTCCAAAGCCAATGAAAAAGTGAATTTTTTGAATGATTATTTTCACTCTGTATTTTCGCCCAAACCAAGCTTCAACCTCAGTGACATGAAGTACGAAAACACGATATTGAGTAACTTCAGTTTCTCAAAAACATATTTAAACCAATTTATAACAGAGCTGGACATAACAAAATCGCGGGGCCCAGATGGACTCCCACCAATTTTCTTCCAACGAACGGCCAGAGAAATGACCACAATTTTGCATTGCGTTTTTAAAAACATCAAGAGGTTAAAGAAAATACCAGATAAAAAGAAAGTTGCGGCTGTGTCGCCTTTTTACAAGAAAGATGACAAACGACGAATGAAAAACTACCGGCCGGTGCCACTCCTCAATATCATGAGTAAACTACTGGAAAAATGCATGTATCTCGCGTTGTATGACCATTTCATTAAATTTCTCACAAGAAGTCAGCACGGTTTTGTCAAAAACCGTTCAGTTGTTACAAACATGTTATATTTCTTGAAAGAAATCTACGAAGCAATTGACAAGAACGCTGAAAACCATGTGATCGCAATCTATACCGACTTCTCTAAGGCATTCGACAAAGTCCTGCATTACGAACTACTAAAGAAAATGAGCAACATCGGAGTTGGAGGCTGTTTCCTTGAAATAATTGCAGACTATCTCAGCAACAGGAAACAATTTGTTCTTAGGAATAAAACATCAATGTTGTGTAAAGCTTTTCAATGAAATAATCACCATCGTCAGACACTGAAATAAAAGCTTGTATAAAAATGTAAAATGTACATAGTTTAACAAGGTTAAACATTAAAAACAAAGTGAATAAAATTCGCTATGATATGTGAATATGAAAGCAAGCCACAATTTCTCATCAGAAAGCAAGCCACAATTTCTCATCAGAAACTTTAGAAATTACAAGTGGCGTACCACAAGGTTCGTTGATTGGTCCATTATTCTTCTGTATCTTCATAAATGATCTTCCTGAAGTATTGAAATTTAGTGACCCATTTATCTTTGCAGACGACCTAAAATTACTAGCAGTGAATGTAGACACAAAGGACATCCAGCAGGACCTAAAAACGTTGGAAACTGGGTAGACAAAAACAAGATGAGTCTGCCACTGGACAAATGTTTTAAAGTCGAATTTAGAGGAAATCAACACGAATTTATTCTTTGTGAAACAGCAGTGGAAAGCTCGAATGTGATAAAGGATCTAGGAATACATGTGTCCAAACATTTAACATGGACAACCCATAAAGACTCAAGAATGTCGAAAGCGAATAAAACGTTCTATTGCATCCGCAGAAACTAAGAATTCAAAGTCAAAATGCGCATAAAACTTGGTCTGTACAAATCCTTAATACTTCCTGTTCTAACGTATGGTCTAATTATTTGCAATATCTCAAGAAGCGACCCAGGGAAATTGGAAAGATTCCAAAAGAAAGTCTTAAAATGGATCACGGGAAACGATTCTGAATATACAGAGCAGCTGAGATTGTTAAACATCCTGCCTCTGGCGTTGTTTCTCCAGCTGAACGAGTGACTGATGATGGCGAAATTCATGCATGAAGAAAACGATCACATTCAGCTCCCGGCAAAAATCGAAAATCCAGGAAGAACGAAAGAAATTTTCAACCTAAACAAGACCAGAACTGAAAAAGCTAGAGGAGAGTTTACATTCAGGACGTGCCGTCTAATAAACCGACTAAATCAGAAAATTGAATTTCGAGAAATGCGAGGCTTAAAGCGAAGATTGATACAGATGATGTGGAAGTTTTTCGACGATCAATTCTCAGAACAAAACAAGTGCACATGGGTCCTCTTCTGTGACTGCAACATGTGCCGAAATAACTGGACAAAATTTTGAGAACTTTGGGGATATCATCCCATCAGTATCCTACTGAAAATTCACAACAAGAACAACAACAATTTCCAGAAATTGTGATGTTTGGATTGGATTGAAAAATAATTCTTGATCCATCTTGCTATTTTAATTCCTTGCGTTCCGATATAATAAATAAGGCGCGTAATGAGTCAATTTTTGATCTTGCAACTTTTCCAACTGTTTAATGGCTACGTTTCTGTGGATGTGGTTTTCAGTACTAGGCACTTTACACATTTTAGACGAGAAGTTTGAATTGAAGATGAAGTTGATAACTTTAACAACAGCCGCATGTGTGTCTCAAATCGGATATGTTTTCTACAAATACAAAATTAGACATACTGCCCAAACTCGTTCCTGGTTCAATTGGAGTAACGATAAATCCAGCCTTTCAAATTCAAAAGTATTGATGTTGAAGCGTAAAAGTGTCTTAGCACAAGAATACTCAATTGAAATGTATCAGTATGCAACCTGTCCATTTTGCAACAAAGTTCGAGTGTATTTAGACTATTATGGAATTCCTTATCGGTCCATTGAAGTGCGCCCTGTTCCAAAACCTGAGATGAAATGGTTGAAAGACAAGAAGAAAAAAGTCCCGACGCTGAAAATAACAAACTTGAGGAGTGCATCTGAAACAATGGTAACTATCGTTTTTTGAATATTAATCGAAAGAGCTAAGAGTTTAATATAACGAAATCTGCAGATTTCTTATTTTTAACAACTTTTTGTTTTACTAATAATGGTTTGTTGTGGTGCGTCGTTTTTGATGACTTCATTAAAACTGCCCAAAAATTACGTTTTTGGTGTAGGTTTACGTCAAAGTAACATAAGTGTTACTTAATGAAATTACGGATGTGTTTTTGATTTACTTAGAAAGAAAAACTTAATGAATTAAGCTGCACAACCCTCAGTTTTTATCATGTTTTTAATAGAAGCTGGTTTCACTTGTAATCATGAACTAGGCTTTTTCTATAAATTCTTTAGAAATTGACCTCGCTATATTTTGAAATCTTATCTTTTCCTTTATTGAAGAATGGAGAGGAACTTCGTGAGTCAAGTGATGTATAATATTAAAGCCCTTTTAGTCGTGATTCAAACTACCTTAAAATTCTTAAAAACTGGTTCCAATGTCGCGAAAAACTGGTTTGTGATAAGATTTTTGAGCTTTGTTTCAATTAAGAGCGAATAAAGCAAGCGATCAGAGTTTTCTAGAAGGATAGGTCATGAAGTTTTAGTTTTACTTTGTTAAGTTGTTTTTAAAAGTGTTTTCAGCGCGGTCTTGGGAATAGCGCAATTCAAAAAGGAGATCTGAGAAGAAAAGAAGTTTTGATTAAAATTTTTTTTCGAATGATTTCTTTTGTTTAACTTGTCTTTTGTGACAAAATTTTTGGCCGATTTGCCTGTTTTAATGTAATTGTCGACTATACCTAAATTATTTCAAGACACCACGCATAAAAACAAAACTAGTTTGAATAATATGAAAAAAACATGTATTTTTTTTTAAGAATAAGGCCGGAACATTCTGTGCTATTTGCATAGCAACCGGCTTTGATTGTTATATCTGGAATGTGATTTTTTTTCTAGAAAAACGTGGGCTATCGTTTGTCTGCTTATTTTTGTTTGGCATAATTTTCAACGTATGGACTCTCCTTGAAGGCGCAAGGGTTTCCGTCGTTTAGACTAATTTTCAACTTTCTTTTTATTGAAACTCAACAACTTCCAGTTTACTTCGCTCTCGACTAGAGGCAACGCTGTCGCCTTTGCTTCCTACGGCCCGGGGTTCGAAACAAGCTCACCCTGTTAGATAACCCCACTTTTTCTCCCCTACAAACTAAACAAGCGATAGCGGACAGCAAACCCTCGCTAGCTCTTGGTCCGGATGTCCTTTGCAACTTTCACTTAAAACACCTGGCACCCTAGCTCCTGAATATTTAACCCTTCTTTTTAATATGTCGCTGTCTGAAAATATTATCCCTCAAATGTGGAAAATTTTGAGGAAAATCCCCCTACCCAATCCCGAAAAGGACCATAAATTATCCACTACTTATAGGCCCACCTCCTGACGCTGCCCCGCTGTTAAAATTTTAGAAAGGCTCATTCATCCTTTTTTTAACAAAGTATCTCCCTAGCGCCACACATCAACATGGTTTTTGTCTTTTCCACTCTACCCGTACTGCGCTTTCCACACTAGAATTTTTGTCACAGACGGTTTTAATCAAAATCCCCCCTCCCGCACCGTTCTCGCAACGCTTGACCACTCGAAGGTTTTTGATATAGTGTGTCATCGTACTCTCGTGGAACTAATTCATGACACACCGCTACCGAGAGGTTTTGTTCGCTGAGTAACTAATTGAACGGCCGACAAGCTACCACACTTTTTAACAACCAAGAATCCCCTCACAAAATAGTTCACTGTGGAGTCCCCGGGGCTCTGTTCTTTCGCCCACTCTTTTTAATTTCTACGTCGATGATGCTACCCCGCCCCCCGATAATGTTCGTCTCACATCTTGCGCTGACGATTTCCATCCCTTTTCCCAAAGCCCTGATGTAAAGGCAGCATCTCGATCGTTGAACGATTACCTTCATCATGTTTTCAATTTTTTCACTTTCAGGAAGTTACCTTTCGCATCCTCTAAAGGATCAGTTACATTTTTTTCATCATACAATAAAGATTTTAACAAAACACCCAGTGTACTTTTAAACAACGAGCCACTCTCTTAACAAAAACCCAAAACTTTCAGGGGTTACTTTTGAACCAACCTTATGCTTTGCTGCGCACTGTAAAAGATCCGCAGACAAGGCTCGCCGCAGGATAGATGTCTTGAAAGCGTTGGCAGGATCCCCTGGGGACAGTCTGAAGAAACCCTCCTCTTAACTTACAAAGCCTTAATATGCCCCATTTTAGATTATGCCTCACCTGCCTGGTCACATGGCGCCAGCCTAACTTCCATTAACCACCTGCAGGTTAATCAAAATCAAGTTCTCAATGTTCCAATTCACCACACTCTTTTAACCTTTCAATTTTTTATCTCGTCATACCGCTCTCATCACCCAAATAATTTTTACTACTCACACCCCACACCTCCACGTCAAGTTCGACAATCGATTTTAAGCGCTTTTAAAGAAGATATTGACTACGTTTTAACCAATCTTAACCCTTCACTCAATCTTAATAACCCAGAAGAAGTCTCCACTTTCGTTTTTAACCACCACAAGTCCCTTTTAAAACACAACCACAAAAATTTGGTAACCACGTTCCTCGTAGAAATCCCTCCCTCTAAAGTAAATTGTATACCGCCCCCTAAGGTCGTCCCCACAGAAAAATCTCTCCCCAAAACTACCCGCTGTAAACTCTCTTAACTCCGGTCTGGTTACAGCCGGCTTTTAAGCACATACCTCTCCCGACTAGACAACAAAGTTTTCCCACTATGCCCGGACTGTCACCTAGCACTCCACACTAGTTGCCACATTTTTAGCTGCCGTAAGAATCCCTCCCCACTTGCACCCGCAGACCTGTGGCTTAGGCCAGTGGAAATTGCGAAGTTCCTTAGCCTGGAGTCGGACGAGCCCAACCCGACCAATGTGGGCTAATGAAAGAGAAGGAAAGGGTCCGAATCGCGGTCGGACCTTATGTTTTTCAGTATGTAACTAATTGAAAATTTATTTCCGGTTAAATTTGATTCCTCGTACTCTCGTTTCAAACTTGAAGTTTTTTAACAAAATTGTTTTTTTTTTCGGATCATTTGGTGTCTGCTCAAAAATCGTTGGCTTCGGTATTTTGGTTTAGTTCCCTCAGCACGGATTTTTTCTGTGTCTTGGAAGTTGCAAGTGTTGTTCTTTGTAGTTTCATCGGGGCTTTCAAACTTATTAAATTTTTTTTACAAAATCATTTTTTTTCGGATCAACTGAGTGTCTGCTCGAAAATTATTAGCTTCGGGATTATTGTTTCGTTGCTAATTTTTATTTCAAATTTTTGCTTGTATTGTTTGCCTGGAGTTCCTGCTTGATAAAACAGGTCTTATGGAAATGTATGGGATTGAGTTTTTTGTGATTTTTTGAGACGCTTTGAAGATTTTTTCACTTTTGCAAAAGTTTCAGTTATTCTCAAAGTTTTCTACCGACTTTGACGAAGGGTGTCATTGGAAAGACTTTTTTCTCTGTGTGCCTGTAAATTTCCGATGTCTCTTTTTGTACCCATCTGTGTACAGCCGAAAAGTCTGTGGGGTAATGTTTAACCCTTATTTTTTTTCAATTATCTGACACTGTGATTTTGGTTCCTATGAATAGAAAAGATATGAAAAGCTACCATGCATATGCGGCTTTGCTCAAACTTTCTTACACATAAAGTTATTGAACAATTTGCCTGTTTTTGCTTTTGATTGTCGAATATGCCTAAGTTATTTCAAGACACCACGCATAAAAACGATACTAATTTGAATGAAAAGAAAAAATATTCATCTTTTAAGAAAATTGTGGGATCATTCTGGGCTACTTGCATAAGAACCGGCTTTGATTGTTATATCTGGAATGTGATTTTTTCTGGAAAAACGTGGGCTATCGTTTGTCTGCTTATTTTTGTTTGTTATAATTTTCAATTTATGGTCTCTCTCTAAAGTGCAGGGATATCCGTCGTTTGAGAGTGACGCAGTTACTTTTGCGAAAGCAAGTGTCTTGTAATCGGGAACTAGATTTTTCCGCTATTAATTTTAACTAATTATCAACTTTTTATTGAATCTCAACAACTTCCAGTTTCCTTTGCTCTCGACTAGGAGTAACGCTGTCGCCTGTGCACCCTACGGTCCTGGGTTCGAATCCCGGCCGGACCTTGTGTCTTTCAGTATTACGCAATTGAAAATTTATTTCCAGTAAAAGTTGATTCCTCGGACTCTTGTTTATCTGCTTGTTTTTTCGATTTACTTGCAGCAGCAGGGATTTTTCTGGTTCTGTGACTTTGTAGTTGCAAGTGTTGTTTTTTGCAGTTTCATGGGGGCTTTCAAACTTATTAAAGTTTTTTACAAAATCATTTTTTTCGGATCAACTGGTGTCTGCTCAAAAACAGTTGATTTCGGAAGTTTTGAGTTGCTAATTTAAAATTCAAATTTTTTGCTTGTATTGTTTGCCTGGAGTTCCTGTTTGATAAGACAGGTCTTATGAAATTATATGATATTGGGTTTTTTTGCTTCATGTTTTGAGGCGCTTGGGAATATTTTTTTCACTTGCAAAAGTTCCTGTTATTCTCACAAAGTATTCAACTGATTTGGCAAAGGGTATCAATGGAAAGACCGCCTCTTTTCACTCTGTGCCGGTAAATTCCCGGGGTCTCTTTTTACTTTACCCATCTATGTACAGCCGCAAGAGTCTGAGAGAAATTTTCGACCCATATTTTTCGTTCATCTAAAACTACCGTCCAAAGTCGTTGATTTTTTTAATAGAAAATATTTGAAAAGCTCCCCTGCATATGCAGCTATGCTCAAACTTTCCTACACATCTCAATCTTTCTCAAACCATGCTCAAACTTTCTTACACATGCGGTTATGCTCAAACTTTCTTACACAACTAAAAAACGGATTGTGAGGAGCTCTTTTGCTCAGTCGAAAACACCCAATTTCTCTACACAAAAAGAATAGCCCTCGGAAAAGT